CAGACGTGTGCTCTTCCGATCTCCCCAAAACCCCAAAACCCCAAACTTCGAGCAATTTAAAAAGTAGAGGAGTTGATGAAATTCAAAGGAATATGCAATTATAATAAAGTAGATGTGAATTTAATAGTTTCAATAGATTAAAGATATATATTATTGCTTCTCAATCCACGATAACACCTTTATCTCCTCAGAAATCTTTCTAATTAGCTGCCTCGTTCCTGCAAACAGCACAGCCCATGGCAAACTCGTCTCCATTTTCAGGGTGCTTTAATTTAAGCGGGCATTTTTCTGCTGAGCCACATTGAGGCAATTCTGCCTTGGTCTTCTTAGACACGTAGTCACCGTCTACTTGTCGCTTGTGGCAAGGCTCACAGAAATGAGTGGTGCCCCAGCAGAACCACTAGGCAAGAGAACAACAGAATCTACATTTGAACTCGATGTAGTCTGTTCCATGCTTCTAGCAATTCGCTATTCCTGCTCCTATACTAACAGCTGAGCATTTACCGCATACCAGTTCTTCAAGTTTATACTACTGTCCTTCCTATTAGGCTTAGATGCAATCCTTCATTCCACCAAAGTAGGGGATCTTGCATTAGAAGCACTGATAATAAGCCAGCTTATACATTGCGTACTTTTGAATATTATTGTAGTAGATGTCATTAGGATCAGCAATCCTTGGGTCTTTTTCAAGTCCCTCGTACTTGGATCTTTCCACTGCTTTCTTTATAACTTCTTCTTCTATTTTCAATGCCAACGCTAATTCTCTATTTAGAGGCTCGCACTTAGATGCTTTAATCCTACCTTTACAACCTGGACAGTCTAAGAAGCCAAAGACTATTCTAGGTCCTGGCCATCTGCCCATTACCTTTTTCATTATGCATTCAATGTGATATATGTGATTGCATTCAAGCTGAACACATGGTGCTTGACCAAGTCCCTCTGTATAGCAAATACCACAATATTCATCAGCATTTTAATCTAGAGTTAGCTAAGGATTTTTCTTGACACATAAAGGATGTAGACAAGGCAGGCATTCTTTCTCATCTTTGATACCACAGCAGGGATGACCACATGCTAGCATTTTTGCGCATTATTTTGCCATCAAATCGATGCACACTGCTTATCTGCAAACTTCCTTGAATGCTGGGTTCATCGAAGGAGGTGGTCCATTTAGCTTATTGAGGCAATATCTACACTTAGCTGCTTCCTTGAACTCTTTGTGCTGCTCGCAAGTCTTGCCCAAGTGATATGGCTCAGATTGGCATTTAGCACAGAAATTCTTTTAGCAGTTATTACATCTTACTCTGAACATACTCATATGAACTGCTGCATCCCTAATTATATTTTACACTTAAATTTGTTTACTATGAGATCGGTGCGCCCTTGTCGTCCTTTTGATTCATATCTATTTTTCCTGGTACTACTTCCATATATTCACCGCAGGAGCAAGATACTAGATTTTTATTTTGTGCGAGAAGTTATGCCTTTTGGAGGTTTTCAATTTCCTCTAACTCCTTTTAAGTCAATATTTCCCTTGCCTCCCATTCCTAAACGGTTCCCCCGCAATCTGGGCATTTTAATTATTGCGACTTAGAAGCACATCTATCTCAATCTTAGATTAAGCAATGATTAATTACTGGAATGCTAAGTGCCTGAAACAAGATTTATGTACGAAATGGAAGCATTCTGTGGATTGGAGACATATCTTTTGGCCATCATAAGCTTCTTACTCAGTGAAAACTCTTTCACAGTACTTGCATGTCTCCTGGTACTAAAGTTGCCTCATCTGTTCAAAGTATGCTTATTCATCGAATTGAGGGTTCTTGAAGCCCGTTCCAAGATTTTATCCTCCGGTAGAACTGAAATTGAACTCATTCATGTCCTCTAAGAATTTTTATGTCAATCATATTTCTGATAAGGTTTGGAATATTACCATTATAACTTGCAGATTGATTTAGAGTCTAATTGAAACCAATGTTCTTAGGTGGAACCTAGTTGACTTGCTCAAACTTTTAAGGTCTGTTGTTTCCTATTTGATGATTGCTATAAGCAAATTAGTTATGATATCACATTTGACCAATGGAGAATGAATATGTTGATAATCTTCATTTTTCCTTACACATGATTATTGTTCTATTCAATTTTCAAGTTATCTTGGATTTCGTGGGAAAGCATACTTAATATACAACTCAAATTCAATTTTTTCCTATCATTACTCTAAGTCATCAATTTCATCACAAGCTATGTTAGATCTTCATACTAATTTTTAGCTTCGATGCACTTGAAGTAATGCTTTTTGACTCCAACGCGATCTACTTCCACTTGTCCACAATCACAATCAAAATGAAACAATAAGCTCTACTCTGGTCCTAAAAGCTATCATAAATCTTTTGTACTATTTACCATTCGATCTATTATTAGGATTCTGCATACTTGCCCTAGAATAGTTTTTAATCAGAAAGATAAAATACTTGTTTGAGGATTCCATGTTTTAATCAAATTATATCTAATGTTTTCAATTTTGATATATTTATGATCCATGGGGTTTTGGGGTTTTGGGGTTTTGGGGTTTTGGGG